CAGAGAAAGAAATTAAAAGGTTATTGATAGTTTTATGTTTTCTAAATCATAATTTTTTTAACATTAGAGAATAAGTACAAAAATGAGTATATTATCCAATCCGCTGTATTGCTAGAATATTGCTAAAAGCAGCGTAAAACCACACTCACTAACTCACTCACTCACTCACTCACTCACTCATATCCCGCTACTTGTATCTGCTCAAATGCAGTTGATCATTCCCCACCAGTGGATCTGTATGCATTCCGGTTATGTTTCTCAACTCCCTGGGGAGTCTTTACATCCACCTCACATATCGGTTATCCATTCCCTGCTGGGTGAACAGAGGCACATTTGAACTCAGCCACAATGAACTGTTCTTAATTTTGAACAAATGCTGATTATTTTGTTGAATTGATAATGTTAATACTTTGATGAAAGTCCAAGGATTTTGTCATCTATTGATGTTAAATTTGCCTTTTATCACAAATGTCCAATCTTGTGATTTGGACCAAGATGAATTTCAGTATCCAGTAATAGTATCAGATATCATGTAACATCTGGTTTGATTCTGTGTTAATATAATTGTTTTGAATCTTCTGCCAAGCTTATTTTCATCATACATCATTATTATATACAGTCATTAATGAAACTTGAATTTCAACATCTAAATCAACATCTAGAGACAGGCTTGACAAATCGTCACATACGATGCAGTACATTTTATTATTAAGTTTGTAAATTTTTTACTTATCCTGCATTACTCCTTAATGCATTCACTGCTTACCATACGACAACAAAGACAGCGCTCAGCGATGGTCTTGGGTGAAAAAAAAGATAATGTGTCCATTTTCAACTCCTGCTTTTTGCCTGGATCATCGCCGCTGTCATGTGACCTTGATGACAAGCCACCTTCCTCACATCACTGCCTCTAGCGTAACAGCAGGGACACTCTCAGCTGAGCTCTTCAAATTGGATATTTTTAGACCGGCTATTAGGTTCCATTCCATCAGCTATTACTCTAAATTATGTCTGCGATGGGTGATGTATTCTATTCATATTACCTTCACTATTTTGTGTATCAATATGTGGGTGATTTTGGTGTAAAAAGACTTTCCTGCCATTTTTAATTTATGTTACAATTGTTTACCTGCATGGGTAGTCTAATTGTTTTCAATTTGTAGCTACGTGTTTATAACATGTTTATGTGTATTAAAATACTGGTAGTTTTGGGCATTACATAGAGTTTGTGTATCATTTCATTGTATACACTTTCAACTCGTAAAATATTTGCTGGTAGATATTTGTAAAATTCTTTGGCAATTCTTCAACTCCGTATCAACCAACAACTCCCTATTTATGTAACATATGCTTGCTTGGTGTACCATTTGTCGTGGTTAAAAATCATTCAAAGATCCTATACCACGTTGTTTGGCTTGCATGCAAATTTGCTCTCTGAACTTTAAGTGTGATGTTTGTTCACATCTCTCTCCATCGTGTTTTGCTATTTATGGACAGGTCACACACAAACATATTTTGCAGAAGTCCCGTCGTGTTGCGAGGAAAATGTCTCAGTCGCAGGATGCGAGCAACGGACATTCTTCTGTCATAACTATGCAACCGTTATCTTCGGTTGGTAATCATGGTAATATGGCTTCCGTAATAGTGACTGCAGACATTCACCCTCCTCCAATTTCAACAATGTTGGAGGCTACTGTGATTATCATACCTGCTTCTTATTATCAGGTGACTAGGACTTCCATTGCAAAGGCCGCTTATGACACTTTTGTTGGGGGAGGGCACACACAAGCCATGATCCAGTTGACACTGATGGGCGTCACTTCTCAAGGGCTGAGTTGAGCGCAGCGCCTTCCTACACCCACCCACCCCCCTGCCCCCCAGGCACGTCTACGATTACATCAGCCTCAGGGCTGTCAGCGTACCTCATTATGTCAGCGACACATGATCAGCTTAGTGCTGTTCCACTTACTTATCCAGCAGCGCAACAGTAGTACTTTCAGAATTTTATACAATCATGTGGCAGCAGTCTATGGCACAATTGTACCCAACACCTGCACCTATGTACCAGATGCCAGCGTCAGCTACAACTCTTATGCATGCGTCAGCGTCTACACCGGCATCTAACATTTACCAAACACCTGATGTGTATTCTGTTCAAACCATACACCCTTGGTTAGCGCCAATACTCCAGCCTGTACGTGGGTATTGTCGCACGAGCCCTTATCACCAGGCATTCTTTTAAAAAAAAATTGATAGAGGAAGGGTTGAGCACCGTAGGAGAAGATGATCTCCTCCTGGGAGAGCGCGTCACCATTGTTCCAATTCTTTGGACTTATCAAATTGCTAAGATGGAGATTCCTCTGTTGAGTGGAATACTCATCTTAGCTTAGCACAAATACCTGAGTGGGCAGCAGACTGTGTCAGTTGCGCCTTCCCCTGGTAATGGGGTTGATAAGAAGGACATCACACCTCGATTCTGGTGGATCCGATGTTGATGGATATGGTTAGCACTGTCCAACTTGGATTCCGAGTTTAAGCGCAGGCTCCTTGATCAACTAGCATCCTGTTCATTGAACAAATTGCTGACACAACTAGAAGCTCTCTCATAGTTGATTTTTTTAACTTTTACAAAAACTTGTAGACAACAATTTGCTACCCACTATTCAACAGCCACATACACTCTTGTCAGTGGCAAGTGTTGCAGGTGCCAAGACCTGTATTCAGCTATCAATCTACCGTCTCAACTGAGGACATTCTCAACTGGTGGTTGATAGTCGAACATCTCCTTATTCGGGCTAGCCCCGAATTTACATCTGTTTGTAAATGTTTCCCGGCAGGGGTGCTGTGTTACAGGGCCAGACAGCCTCAGGGTTGTGGTCGTGCACACAACAGATTTGGCATGTTAGTGTCAGATTTGGCAGAGTCTGGAAGCGCTCATTCTGGACATCTCACATTGGCAGGAGCAGCTACAGTCCACCCAACTCACAATATCCACCGACAACAGCACAGTGGTGTGGTGCCTGCGCAATCAAGAGATAATTAACACAAACACTCCATTCTGCAACAGACGTTCAGGTTCTTTCATCTAGTGGATCGCATGAGACTATAATTCAGAGTCCAGTACATCCCCCGGCGTCGAAACATCCTGACCGATGATGACCTTTCTGGCCAGACAGGGTGGTTCCCATGGAGTGGAAACTTCACTCAGGGGCAACTGATGATTGGGCAATCAAACACTGACCTGTTTGCGATGCACCAGAACCACCACTGTATGTCTCCTGCTCCCAGATCTGCTGGCTTGGGTTTTCGAAGCATTCAGCATCCTCTGGAAGGGCTAAAAGCATACGCTTTTTTTCCCTCTTGCATTACTTCCCAGGTTGATACTAAGGACCAAAGTTACAAAAGAATTGCTCTGACTTTGATCATGCCTTGGTGGACGATGAGGAGGTGGTTTGTTAACCTAAAAATAAACTTGCAGAAAACGATCCACTACCCCTCCCAGAGTGGTCCAACCTACTCATCCACCCTCATGACAAACTAGCTCACCCATTATTATTCGGAGCGGACAGCTAAGGACATTATTTTGACACATCGTCCCTCTACCAGAGGGTTATACGATGACAAGTGGCAACCATTTCTAACCTTTTTTGATAAGGTAAAGAATCGAGATCCCACGTCACTCCAATTCCTAGCTGAATACCTCCTACACTTGCGTATCAAAGACATTTGAAGCGTACAATGTAATTGGTAGCGTTTAATTCAGTGTTGGCCGTTCTGGGAAATCGTAAAATGATGAAGACCCTGGAAATACAGGCCCTACTACGCTCCTTTAGGCTTGAGGATCAGAATGCAAATTTCCAAATTTCCCCTGCGTTTGCTTTGAATGTTGTACTTTGAGTACTCAAAGCATCCTCATTTTATGGCCTCACCAAGAAAACAATATTTTTCTTGGCATAAGCCACTGCGGCACGGGTGAGCGAATTACATATGATGAACATCACCCGGGTCGGTTTTGAGCATGGTGCATCTTGGGTTGTGCTGGGATTTTATAGCAAAAAATCAACCACTAGGCAACCTAATCGTTTCTTCACTATACCATCAATTTCTACGATTGTGGGAGTTGAAGATGAAGGTAAACTCCTCTGGTGTCCGGTGCGCACACTATGAGTTTTCATCCGCCACTCCTAAACTAGGCGTTGTTCGACGAAACGGTTATTCATACCTGTATTCCATACGTCCAAGACTGAAGTTAGTCACAATACCATATCTCTCTGGTTACGTGCAGTCTTCCTTTAAGGCTAAAGAGATCGCCAAACTTGATCCGCAAAGAGCGATTAATCCTCACGTAGTAACATGTAACGTAGTTACATAGTAACTGTTCTAACACAGTTATTCTAACACAGTTTTCGCTCGTCATTATCTTTCGTGATGTGGTTGTGAAGACGTCAAAGGCGTGCACAGTTTTGGCCCGCTGGTAGTAACCCAGCAGGTAACCAACCCTCGATGCAAATAATGAACTCGCCCTATACAGAGCCAGTCTACTTCCAGCGCAGGTCGTATGAGATAACCCAGTGGATGAAATGAAGACAAGCTTTTTTTAGTCAAGGTTTGGCTCGGTGACACAGTAGGTTGTTTTTTGGTGTGAATAATTGTTTTTTAAGCTTGGGTGACAGGCAGTGATGTGAGGAAGGTGACTTGTCATCAAGGTTATATGACAGCGGCGATGGTCTATGCAAAAAGAAGGAATTGAAAATGGAAAAAACATCTTTTTTTTCACCCAAGACCATCGCTGAGCGCTGTCTTTGTTGTCGTAAGGTAAGCAGAGAATACATTAAGGAGAAATGCAGGAAAAGTATACAAATGTAAAAAATATTGAGATTTTGCTAATTTTGTAGTTTTGCGGAACTGCCATTCACATAAGACAGAGAGTGAGCCCTTGGACAGGAGCTAGTGTCCTAGTAACCATGGTAAAACTATCAATGACAACCATCTATCTACAGGTCGCTATGAGGATGACTTCGTGAACGAGAGGATGAGGCAGCTTCAGATGTGGGTGGACAGGATGGCCCGTCACCCCATAGTGTCCCAGTCGGATGTCTTCTCTCACTTCCTCACCTGTACAGATGAAAAGGTAGGTGTTTCTTGTACAAGCTTCCTTACCCCTGGATAGTCAGCAATACACTCACAGGGAAGTCCAGGAGCCATGGCACTTTGTTCAAGATGTTTTTGTAAGAAATTGACTTTTGTCTGTTTTGGGGGATGGGTCATCTCAATAATGTATGGCATGAATTATGTCATTTTTCAGAACACAGTTAATGTATGTAAAAAGGCCTAGCAGGTATGTTTAGTTGTTGTGTAGGCCTATACATTATGGACTGAAGGCTTAAACAGAGCTCCAGATAACTTTTTGAACAATTGTGTTTTTACTCGAAGGTTTCTATTTTAATTGGGTTATTACAATTTTCATTGGGTAACCAATATTTTTTCACTCATCTATTCATCACTCTATTGGGGTTTTCCCAAAATGAGTAAGCTTTTTGAGATTTAAAAAAAATGAAAAAATGTTTTAGACACCATTGTACGCATGCTGAAAAAGCTTCTTTGGGTATTTACGTGTGCTGTTTTCCAACAATTGAGTTTTTCATTTAATGCATGCGTTTCTGTATGCAAGTTAATTGAAGGTAATTGGGTTTTGAATAGTTTTGAGGGGTATTTTACGCAAATACGCAGCTTATCTGTAGCTCTGCTTAAATAAGATTCCCACGACCTATCTAATGAATATCATGAATACATTTTGTACCATCTGATACATCAGAACTGTTTAAAGAAATTGATAGAAGTCCATTAATGCTACATATTAGTGCATATTCAAACTGTATTTGTAATGTGAATTTCAGAGATGGAAAGCTGGGAAACGAAAAGCTGAAAAGGATGAATTTTTAGGAGGAAAATTTTTTCTGTTATTACAAACCCCACCCCATCCACTTGATTTACGAGAAGTGTGAGTATATCAAACCGATTTTCTGAATACTGTTACTTCTATGGTCCTTGACACAATGCCAGTATCTGTAGACATCGTCTACCCGATGTGGAGGAAACTATCAATACATTTAACACAATAAGTTACAATACCTGTAACTGTGATGTTCGACACAACTCACTGATTAACTTTCCTATTTGCTGGTTACAGAGAGCTTAAGATGGAGAACTTCTGCAAGTTTGTGATGAGTATGATGGAGAGTACAAAATCCTTCATGAATGTGCTACATGAACACGCAAAGAAGCAATCAGGTGGTAAGTGGACATCTGTGTGGCCCAGCTGATGGAGACACTCCTTGTGTACAAGATAACAATGTACACCGTACACATGCTGGGGAGGGGGGGCTTTGGTTATACTGCTATATAACATAGCTACGCCATAAATCGCCAAGAACAATGAAGAACAAAGTGTGGTTTATTTCTCAAGACAACATTGTTTCATCATGATAACATTTCTGGAAATTCAAACATGCCCTCGCTACCATCGAAAATTGGACAAAGTTATTTTTGATAGGGAAGTGTCTAGTGAGTTTTTGCCCATAGAGGTATTTGGGCAACGTAGGTAAATGCAGTGGTCGAACGACCGAACCCAAATATAGGAGAAATATGACAATTGCTATTGGGATAAAAGGTACAGATAATCAACTTGACAATTGTGAGAACATCCGATAAATACCAAACTTACCCCCCTTGTCCGACATTGACAAGGTCTGATTGTATTCAGGGAGTCATCATTATTTAATTACAGGTAAATGTGTTTAAAGGTTGTATATTTTATTAATACCCTTAAAGAGGCTGTACATTATGTTGAAACCTCATATAAGAAATAAATGAATTCTGGTGAAAATGACTTATGATCATGAGATTTGTGATGTAACATAACTTGTTACATTGATATGTCTTATCTGTCCAGGAATCACATAAACTGTAGGAATTGCATAAAGTTTCAGATCACATTATCGTTTGTTTTTCATGTAATGTTGTCTGGGTTGATTATTAGTTGATTCTATCACAAACTACCCCTTGACGAGAAGCTCAAACAAACATGACTAAACATTGAATATAGATTGCTCTGTACACAGATAAATATTGTATAGAAATTTCTTTTATATATAGTATAATACCTGTACATGTAACTATAATCATGATAATGTGTTAATGAATATGTCTTCAATTGATAAAATTCTAGAGTTTAATTCTGCATAAAAGCATTGACTAATCTTGTTTGTTCTCTGGATTCAGGATTCAAAGGCCAGTACCATAAGATAGGGACGGGATTCAAACAGCTCGCAACTTCATTTAACCTGGACAGAGGAGAGTGTGAGTAGCAATAGTAATACTTGTATCAGCTTTAGAGGACCTGGTATTAGTGGACACCTCCCCTCTCCTGACTAATTGTCACTGTACACAGCGGAGTGGTAGTGGGGTGGAGTGGGGTTGGGTGTGGTGCGGAGAGCATTATATCAACCACTGGTTTGTCTGGAACATACTTAGTTATTTCCAGACCATCATCATACAGCTGGAATATTGCTGAGTGCAGCATCAAACAATAAACAAATGTATGGTACATCCTTGCATTGAAGGTGGAAGTTATCATTTGCAGAAGCGCGAGGTCTTCCATTAATTGCCCGACGAAGGAGTGCAGTTGAAAAGACCGAGGGCTTCTGCAAATGATGATGTCCCAAAAATAGTGTTACCGTTATTATAGCTAAGATGGAAGGAATTTGTTATCAAGTAAACAATATCGGTTTTGAAACATTTACTGCAATCAACAGGAATGTCACTGACACACTTTTACAAATATGGAAACGTCATGGAACAAACCAGATGACGTCACTATTCAATGTGACATCACCTATCCCTATCCTATGACGTCACCTAACAACGGGCGTGATAATGGCCCGCCGTCAAGCAATATGAGGGCATTATCAAGTTACAGTGGCCCACTCATTTCTGATGACATGTGAGCGCTTTAATGATAATTCTATCCATTTTAGCTATAAATCCTTGTAATGTGTAGGTGCCAGTCAGTGTAAGATATATCCTTGTAGTGTATAGGTGGTAGTCAGTGTAAGATATTTCCTTGTAGTGTTCATGGGGTTATCAGTGTAAGATATATCCTTGTAGTGTGTAGCTGGTAGTCAGTGTAAGATATATCCTTGTAATGTGTAGGTGCCAGTCAGTGTAAGATATATCCTTGTAATGTGTAGGTGGTAGTCAGTGTAAGATATATCCTTGTAATGTGTAGGTGGTAGTCAGTGTAAGATATATCCTTGTAATGTGTAGGTGCCAGTCAGTGTAAGATATTTCCTTGTAATGTGTAGGTGCCAGTCAGTGTAAGATATATCCTTGTAGTGTATAGGTGGTAGTCAGTGTAAGATATTTCCTTGTAGTGTTCATGGGGTTATAAGTGTAAGATATATCCTTGTAGTGTGTAGCTGGTAGTCAGTGTAAGATATATCCTTGTAATGTGTAGGTGCCAGTCAGTGTAAGATATATCCTTGTAATGTGTAGGTGGTAGTCAGTGTAAGATATATCCTTGTAATGTGTAGGTGGTAGTCAGTGTAAGATATATCCTTGTAATGTGTAGGTGCCAGTCAGTGTAAGATATTTCCTTGTAGTGTTCATGGGGTTATCAGTGTAAGATATATCCTTGTAGTGTGTAGGTGGTAGTCAGTGTAAGATATATCCTTGTAGTGTGTAAGTCGTTATCAGTGTAAGATATATCCTTGTAGTGTGTAGGTGGTAGTCAGTGTAAGATATATCATTGTAATGTGTAGGTGCCAGTCAGTGTAAGATATATCATTGTAATGTGTAGGTGCCAGTCAGTGTAAGATATTTCCTTGTAGTGTTCATGGGGTTATCATTGTAAGATATGTCCTTGTAGTGTGTAGGTGGTAGTCAGTGTAAGATATATCCTTGTAGTGTGTAAGTCGTTATCAGTGTAAGATATATCCTTGTAGTGTGTAGGTGGTAGTCAGTGTAAGATATATCATTGTAATGTGTAGGTGGAAGTCAGTGTAAGATATATCCGTGTAGGGGGTAGGTGGAAGTCAGTGTTAGATATATCCGTGTAGGGGGTAGGTGGTAGTCAGTGTAAGATATATCCTTGTAGTGTATAAGTCGTTGTCAGTGTAAGATATATCTGTATAGGATGTAGTCAGTGTAAGATATATCCTTGTAGTGTGTAAGTCGTTGTCAGTGTAAGATATATCCTTGTAGTGTGTAGGTGGTTGTCAGTGTAAGATATATCCTTGTAGTGTGTAGGTGGTAGTCAGTGTAAGATATATCCATGTAGGGGGTAGGTGGTAGTCAGTGTAAGATATATCTGTATAGGGGGTAGGTGGTAGTCAGTGTAAGATATATCCTTGTAGGGGGTAGGTGGTAGTCCTTGTAAGATATATCCGTGTAGGGGGTAGGTGGTAGTCAGTGTAAGATATATCCTTGTAGGGGGTAGGTGGTAGTCCTTGTAAGATATATCCGTGTAGGGGGTAGGTGGTAGTCAGTGTAAGATATATCCTTGTAGGGGGTAGGTGGTAGTCCTTGTAAGATATATCCGTGTAGGGGGTAGGTGGTAGTCCTTGTAAGATATATCCGTGTAGTGTGTAGGTGGTTGTCAGTGTAAGATATATCCTTGTAGGGGGTAGGTGGTTGTCAGTGTAAGATATATCCTTGTAGTGTGTAGGTGGTTGTCAGTGTAAGATATATCCTTGTAGGGGGTAGGTGGTAGTCAGTGTAAGATATATCTGTATAGGTGGTAGGTGGTAGTCAGTGTAAGATATATCCGTGTAGGGGGTAGGTGGTAGTCCTTGTAAGATATATCCTTGTAGGGGGTAGGTGGTAGTCAGTGTAAGATATATCCGTGTAGGGGGTAGGTGGTAGTTAGTGTAAGATATATCCGTGTAGGGGGTAGGTGGTAGTTAGTGTAAGATATATCCGTGAAGGGGGTAGGTGGTAGTCAGTGTAAGATATATCTGTATAGGGGGTAGGTGGTAGTCAGTGTAAGATATATCCGTGTAGGGGGTAGGTGGTAGTCAGTGTAAGATATATCCGTGTAGGGGGTAGGTGGTAGTTAGTGTAAGATATATCCTTGTAGGGGGTAGGTGGTAGTTAGTGTAAGATATATCCGTGAAGGGGGTAGGTGGTAGTCAGTGTAAGATATATCCTTGTAATGTGTACATGGTTGTCAGTGTAAGATATATCCTTGTAGTGTGTAGGTGGTAGTCAGTGTAAGATATATCCGTGTAGGGGGGTAGGTGGTAGTCAGTGTAAGATATATCCGTGTAGGGGGGTAGGTGGTAGTCAGTGTAAGATATATCCTTGTAGGGGGTAGGTGGTAGTCCGTGTAAGATATATCCGTGTAGGTGGTAGTCAGAAAGTGTTCTTGTGTTTGCAGATTCCCAGAGTCTGACTGCAGCTATGGACTATACTGGAGATACATACAAGGAAATCGGAGACCTGTATGGAGAACAGGTTAGTCGACACCACTAACACATCACCACTCACAGGACTTTGTCCATTGAAAGTCAACTGAGATTGTGTTGTGGTCTGTTTGTCTGGCGTGTGTCGTGTGTCGGGTAAACATCTCCTCCACAGTAACCACTGGACCAATATAGCGGAAACCACACATGCTTGTTCACGCCAGTGATGACACACCGATTTGTTGAAGTGGTTCTCCCACAGCAGCCATATTGAAAAAGCTGTCTATGGCTATTGCAAGCCATATTCATTCAAAATCTAATAAAAGTTGGTATTTGTTTGGTTAGTAGTGTGGCTCGACATACATGTGTACATGTCGGTGTTTTGCGATATGTTTAATTTTGACCCTGATTTGACCTTTGCATCTCAGCCATACTTAAAGCTGAAACTTCTTATGGCCATAAGTCTTTTCCTTGATAGTGTATTGAAATAGTGTGGCTCAACATGCACACTGTTTTTACTTTTAGGGGTATTTTTAATTTTGATGTTGAACTTTGGTATGCTTGTTTCTCCTTTTGATGACGTAATATTTTGTTCAAATCATTAAAAGTTTAAGGTTTAAACACATTTTTGAATATCAAACCAGACAGCAACTTTTGTTAAAAGTGACATCTCTGATAACATTTTGAGGTGAACTAGAGTACAATAGTTCAACTTGATTTTGTGGAATCTGTGCGATGAGAACCATCACATTTATGTGCCCTGTCAGTGTCGCCATTGTTGTGTTGTTCTACTGAGATTGTGAACTGACCTTTGTGTTAGAGAAGCTAGTGTAGCATGTACTTTAGCCTGCAGAGGTGGAAAGTATGTTTATGTAAATCATTTTGTATACCAATGCATATTTTCTGAAGTTTTAACATTTGTTTAGGATAAAAAGCATCAAAAATCATTTCCATAATCATAAGAAATCTCTACTAAAATCTATGTATTAGTATATGCAAGTTTCCCCTTTCAGCCAACTAATGATACCTGGCCACTGTTTGAGTCTGTAGGAGAGTACAAGGGTATTCTCCATGTGTACCCTGATGTCGTCAAAGTTCATGAGGTCAGTATTAGTGGTACGCTATTCAACCTCTCTCAGCCTGACAATGGTATCTGTTGTAGCTAGTTCAGGCCCACTCACACTTTTTACCTATTTTTCCCTTCAGAATAGGGAACCTGCAGAGGATTGTTATTTTATCAGTGAATCATTTATTGAGAGAAAGAAAATGTGAACAAAAACTGATATCGATTTCTGAAATGAAAATTGTTCAGGCACATAATTAATTAACTGGTCATTTAGAGGTGATTGGCTTGTCCAGATCATCATGCCAAGGCCTATGGTCAGTTCCCCACAAGGATGTTATGTGTGAAGCTTGTACCAGGTGCTGTTTTGTATTGCCTACAGTCAACACTCACTGCCTGTAGTGGACAATACATGTATTAGTCATGTCCTTTGCAAATGGTATATATTTAGTAGCCCTGATACCCATGAAGATTGGGGTTAGATAGGTCTTCAGCAAACTATGCTTGTCGTAAGAGGTGACTAACAGGATCAGGTTGTCAGGCTCACTGACTTGGTTGTTGCATGTCATCCTATCCCAATTGCGTAGATCGATGCTCATGATGTCAATCACTGGATTGTCTTGTCCAGACTCAATTATTTACAAACGGCTGTCATACAGCTGGAATATTGCTGAGTGCGGCATTTAACAACAACACATGACCCTGAAAATGAGAAAGCTTTGAGGTCTTTCTAAGGTCCACTACAAAAAGATTATTGACATGATATATTATAGGTAATGGGAGCCAGATAGGAAAAACAACTTACAAAAATGTTTCTTAATTCCCTTTCCCAAAAGGTATTAATACATTTATCTTCTAATTTGAAATGTTCCTTCCCGAGAATGGGATAAGCCTTTGAAAAGGTTTTGGTAAAAATGTGTCCGAGCTCAAGGTTACTGTGAGGTAGCTAGCAGGGCTTTGTAAAACATGGTTATATCATTGTCAATTACTTCTACAGGTATGAACCCCACGGGTGAGAATTGGTCCAAAGCAGCTTATGCTGGTCATACGAGGCAACCGAATGAATCAGAAAATCAGGCTGGTGAATCGGTTGATAGCTGGTCACCATACCCCGATGGCGTGAATTGTTGTTCATCATATCACTGCCTGGATTGCCGGGTCCATACTCAATTATTTACAGACCTCTATCATACATGCAGCATAAACAGCAGACAGACAAAAGAGCTGAAATATGACTATGATATACAAATATCTGTGATATTGCCTACTACAGAACAAAGTGATTAGGTGATGTGATATTGTATAATACATATTGCTACAGGTAGCAGTGAAATGACTGAAATCATCAACTTCATGCAGCTATGGTTATGACTGTATTACTACTATTGCCCACTACAGCAGCTATGGTATGACTGTATTACTACTATTGCCCACTACAGGCAGCTGTGGTATGACTGTATTACTAATATTGCCCACTACAGGCAGCTGTGGTATGACTGTATTACTAATATTGCCCACTACAGGCAGCTATGGTATGACTATTACTAATATTGCCCACTACAGGCAGCTGTGGTATGACTGTATTACTACTATTGCCCACTACAGCAGCTATGGTATGACTGTATTACTACTATTGCCCACTACAGGCAGCTGTGGTATGACTGTATTACTACTATTGCCCACTACAGCAGCTATGGTATGACTGTATTACTACTATTGCCCACTACAGGCAGCTGTGGTATGACTGTATTTCTAATATTGCCCACTGCAGGCAGCAGTGACATGACTCTTGTAGTGCATTTGCAGAGCTTACTTGTCTCTGATACTGGTGTTAGACCTTAGGTATGTTTCATTTTGTGTATTTTCTTCCGCTAGGGAGCTATTGGGAAGGCAAAGGAGTGTCAGAAGCTGCAAGATGAGGGGAAGATGACAGATAAAGACGTGCAGGAGGTCATGCAGAAGTCCGACATCATCTCCTACGGGACATTGGCCGAGATGAACCACTTCCAGAAGGAAAGGGTCATTGACTACAAGAAAATGACCAAGAGCTATCTGCAGGAACAAATCAAATTCTTTAAAACGGTAACTCAATGTCTTCATATTGTATACATTTTGTAATTATAATGAGATAAGATGAGGCTGTGTCCTATAAATACTCCAGTGATAACTTGTTGCAAAGTTATGCCTTTGTATCCCACCACAATTATTGTTGTAACTACATCAACTATGTTGTGATGGATGGATGGATGGATACGTGAAACATGCATGAGTGGCCTAGTGTTGTAAGGAGCTGCTGCACTGCTGACCCCTCAGCTGTCAGTGTCTGCTGACTTGTCAGTGGTTTAAGATCCAGATTTGTCCCTATCCTTGTGGACCGTCAGATCTGCATCTCTTCAGGCTTTCCTGCCAGCTGACACACAGTGATATAATATAACACTGTTCAATGTGGCATTGAACACCTCATGTGACACATCAGCTGAAGTAACACATTTGTCTCTTCATTTTCAGATAACACAGAAGCTAGAGTCAACTCTAGCCAAATTTGATGAAGCATAATATGTAATTATGCAAATGAGTGGACCAGAGTACAAGGAGTAACAGTTTGGTGAAGAGCATATATATTGATGGCAGGAAGTGATGGTGGTACAAGGATGCACTGCTTTCGGCAAAGATTCTATGCCCAGTTGACCTGTTGGCCAGAGATGTGTAACTGGTCATTAGTGTCTTGAGTGACAGTTGACTTGAACAAGGCCAGTTGTATGTGTCTGGAAGATGGTGTTAGTGACAGGACATGGTACACAGTAGCCATCATACTAACATTGGAGACAAATGTGTATGTTAAGCCGAGTTGTAAATGTGATGGCACATTGGTGCGCAAGTTGATTGCTGGAAGTGCAGGGAGAATCTGTGACAGTGATGTTGCCACCGGACTCAAGTGAGCGTATGTACTGGAGAAATGATTTGATTATTCCTTCAGTTTGTTTTGATCCTTTGAATGTGTCGGACATGCTGCAGATTTATCTACAAGAACTTCTGAACAGAAAAAGCTATTTAAGAATTAGATTGGTCTTTATACAAATGAACAGAAAGATTGTTCAGAACTAAACTTGTCATTTGTAGGCTTCATGCTACATATTCACACAGCTAATCGAAGACTTGCCATCTGAGGACAGAAAGTTGTATAAATTCCAGTTGTTTGTATTGCTTATTAAAGCAAAGGATGACATAAATCACCAATGGGACAGGGCAGTTACAAGTGCTTTTATTTGTGATGAGTGATTAAAAATTTCCAAGAATTGTTAATGACTGAACTTGGAAATATGTGAAGTGAAGAACAATTGCTGTTGCATAATGGGATCATGGGAGTCTCCAGTTTTACACATTAACACTTGACAAATTATGTTGTTGAATGATACAAGTATCATACATTTTATGCAAAAACTTGGGGAGATATTTGTTGATTCCACTTGTGGGGCATCTATGATAAGAAATGATGTTTGATGAAGTATGGCATGGCTCACCGGAGTACTGGTATAATCTACTTCTGCATGCCGGTCACCAGCTCTGTTGTCTTGTAAGACTGTGATTATCCCCTGGCCATGGAGTCTTGTGATGGAATGCGGGACAAAAGAGGACTGATTTGAAGTTTGATGTGTGTCTTAAACCTCTGAAATAATATCTATTTTTATATCTCAGAACACAACTACATATTGTACAAATGTTTCTCTGTGCTGAATGTGCTGGTGGGTTTCGTTCAGGTGGTTCAGCTGAAATGGGGTGACGTATTGGGATTACTGTTCCAAACAGCATTAAGCCCATCTCACTCACTCTTCCCTGAGTTGTAATTTTACATGTATATAGATTCAAAATGGCTATCAAGTCTGTGATGACTACCTTATTTTTGTAGAGAAAAGTCAAACATGGGCCAGTGATGAACACAGTGCATGGATGCTACACAAAATAGCCTGTCATATTACCGGGGGATATCAGTCAGCCGTGATCATGGCCAGAATAGTTCCAAGTTGTATTTACCAAGTATATAAGTGTTGTTCTGTATCACCACACAGCATAATTGAAAATTGTGATGGTCTTTCGCTCTATACTTTCAATGTAGTGAGCATGCACCTTCCAAATTGTGCATGCCTTCTTTCGATTCCCAATGAAAATGGCAGGTATTCCTTTTATGCGCATATTTTCAATTTTCTTTCACCTGCATAAAGTTTGAAAGTATCATAATGACCTTTTGACCCACAAGGGCGATGATAGACATAAGGGTCAGTGGTTGATGTAAGCTACTGATAGTGAAAGTTGATGTTCCTGGGGTTTCTCACTGAAATGCTGTCATGTTCTGTAATAAGTCATGTTATGCTATACTGAATACCGATAGGTATAGTTATGTTCAAGTGAACTTATGTTATTCTATACTTTTATGTCAGTGAATTCTGTTTGATTTGTCATGTTTGGTCCAAGGATTTGCAACATATTTTAAATATAATTAATTAAGATTAATCAATACTATTATAGTGAGTGAGTTAAAGTTTAACGTCACATCAGCAATATTTCAGCCATATCGTGACCAATACTATTATATGAGCAGATAGGAGACCTCAAGAAATGAAAGAATGGTGTTCAGTTTACTAGATACAGTGGTTTTGCTATTTAACTTATTGCTCAGACCATGGACGTACAGCACTGGATGGACCCCTTCTTCTGATGTAGTTATTCTTGTCTGAGTCTGATGAAAAACAACTGACAATATACCGAGGGTAGACCCAGATGGGAAATTGCTGATGCGGGAATATCACCGACTCTCTCATCCCCGAAGCTGATCACATACCGTAGTCTATGACCACATACTGGTGTTCTTGTCATGAGCATTGCTGTCTGGTACTGTGAACTGGTTGGCATGGTAACAATTGATATGCTCTAGTCAGGATATTCATTAAACATTAGCCAAGGGAATTGTCATTTAACTGTAAGCAGAAACAGTAAGGATTAATTAATAAAAATATTAACTTGCCTGAAAGTAAAGATGCTTGCAAACCATTTAATACCAGCAACTTCCTACAAGACCTGAGGACAGATCTCTATCATTTGAACTTTCAGAAACCTAAATGTATATCTTTCCTTGCAGACATTTTGAAGTGAAGGTATCAAAACCAATGTTGATAACCATGCTTGCTCTTTGTGGATAAGGCCTATTAAGCAGAATAACAGCAAAGATTCATATTGTTCATACATGTATAATTTAATTCATTTTCACGTCTTTCAAACCTTGTGATAGCCACCTGTATTTTACTGAATTTATCATAATTATATGTAGAATATGTACATTGTCTAGTGTTTCTACTTCCATTTGTATTGCACTTAGTAAATGCTTATCAATCAAAGAAGTTCGAGGTTGATCAAACAACCTAGCTTATTGTTCTCATTTGCACATAGCAAGTGTAATTTTAATCTATGCATGCTGTGAAACCTATTGTATATATGTCATTGTTGATTTCTAACATAGGAGTGAATGATATGTGTGCTATCTGACATGCTGTGGTATAGTCAGCCCTGCCTCATGTTGAGATCCAACCAGCCCAACCAGCAGAGAATCTTCTTTCCTTCTAGGCTGGATCAAAGACATAATTGGTTCTCAGGCAATTAGTTATCAAGGCTTCTTTTTCACTGTATAAAACTTGTACTCCTAAGGTGTAAACTTCTTAGCTCATCTGACTGTAAGATGATGTGAGCATCTGCTATGGCCTAGTTGTCTGGCAACCATTGGTAGCACTGGCACATGGAAACTTCACCTTCTCAAAAACTGCAGGACCCTTGGAACTGAAACTTGGAATGTTTGTTCCTGCTAATTAGGCCACCTCAGATTTAAAAAGTTTAACTCTTAGTATGTATAGATAGTTTTATTTAGGGCACATCATATATGCTCAGTAGTTTAGTTATTTTGAATAACTTCAACCGAAGCCTTAAGTTATCCCCAAGTACATTATGGGCTCTGCAAATATATTTTCTCTGATGAAATTACAGTTTGACATGCATGTTTGTTCTTAATTATGACAGCATAGTTTCTTCCAATTGTTGGCATTTGTTCTTTTATTAATAATATGAAAATAAAATAAAATTCCATGAAAACTTTAAACATCTTCTCAAAAGTCAGAGACTAGGAAGTTGTTATTGTGAATGATCATGGCTGTATGTAGAGTCAAGTGTGCTCAGTGCATCATGGGAAAGGATGTGATCGGTCTGCATCTATGTTTGCATGTAATACAGAAATGTTTGGTTTCTGAACCTTTTTCTAAGATGCAGGGGACTGAAATATTTAGATTTAGTTTAGCAAAAGGCATCAAATGTAAGAGTTTATGGTTTGTGAAACAAGTAAAAATAATGTAGTGACCGGAAAGAACAATCCTCACTGGCACAAAAGGCCACTTAGTGTTGCGTATGTGATGCTTTACATTGTTATGCCATGTGGAATTCATTTTGACAGAAAAAGAAATGTTCATGAAATTTCTTGTTTCATGTTTGTTATTTAATGTATGCAGAAAATAATTATTTGTCTTAGCTGACATTTGAAACTGGACTACATATCCATGTAAAGTACAGTGCAGTGGCATTATTGGAGAGCTTGAGTTCCAGGAGTATGTTTTGTAGCTTCACAACTTAGTGAAATGTGGCACTGATCATGCTGATGTGAGTGTAAAGACATAAATGGGTTACAACCTGCAACCTCGGGATGTGCCTGTGACTGTGGACGTGTTCCTGCCTTACTGACTGACACAGTTTCAAGGAGGGCTAGTCTTACATGTTTAGTGGCTTACTTTCAGTGACACGTCATCTGTTCACAACTAAACTCCATACTTTGTGTGTATCAATTAATTGCAAGAGTGAGTGTGTCTTCAATAATATGATATCATACTTAGATTACTAACTTTCACTGTTTTCTGTTACAAATTAGGTAGTACTTTTGTACATTTGTGATAGCATACACTTCTGTTAAGTGAATAAAATTGTTACCAAGTACTTTTAAAGAATATAGCAATGTCAATGTCCCATGTTCTGTTTGTACAAGCTTTCACAAACATGAGAAAAATATCTGCAACCATGTAAATGAGGTTTTGGGGAATATTGATTTTAAGGCAGCATTTTCTAAAATTATGCAGCCACACAGCCACTTCTTTACTCTGAGATGTATGTTACTTTTTTGTCAAAATTATGTTTTTGCTTTAGAGCAAGAAATCAAATGCTGTCTGATATCCCGATTTTACTGATGAAGTAGTTGTACTGATAGCCTACTTTCTACACTGATCAATGTTTGATGCATATGTGGATCTAAAAATAAACTGATATGAATATATATGTGATGGCCTTGTTTCTGCAAGCATTGTAAACCTTTTCTGTGTCTACAAGTAATAGAGAATTGTGACTCAGCATGGTTCTTGATAATCAGTGCATTGTAAGCTTGTCTGAAGTAGTGTCATGCTTGAGATGATGGCCTTCAGGTGTAAACTTCAACATCTGTATAATGCTACATGCAGATAAGTTGGCTAAAACTTCCATCCTCCCATATTAAGTCACAGATTGGTTAATAGTTGACTGGGTTTCTTTGCTGAAGTAACATGAGAATTTGTTTGTTTGTCATTTAACGCTGCACTCAGCAATATTCTTGCTATATGACAGCAGTCTGTAAATAATCAATTTTGGACCACACAATCCAGTTACTGACATCATGAGCATCAATCCACGCAATTGGGATACGATGAGATGCATCTACCAAGTCAGCAAGCCTGACCACCCGATCATGTTAGTCGCCTAATATTACAAGCATAGTCGCTTTTTACGGCAAACATGGGTTCTTGAAGACCTATTCTAACCTGGATCTTCACAGGTGACCATGAGAATATAAACTCAACAACAAACGTTCCTGTGACACCAATATTTTAGTGCATTTTTCAAACAAGTAAAGTTTGGTTTTCAATATTGTAGAACATGTATGGAATCAAGTCACAAAAACGCAACTGCTACAGAAAAGCATGCATTCCATGCAAAAGTTGACTTTTATGCAAGCCCCATACATTTCAATACCCAAGAATGGGTATAAAAACATGTACGTTAACGGGATTCCATATGCATTGTTTAGCATCGTGCTGACAACAACCACTCAGAAAAACAACAAAGTTACCCAATTATTCAACATAACGAAATGCCACGCGTCTGCGAGCCATTGGTATGCTTGAAGCAGGATCGAGTCAACGTGATGTTGCAAGACAATTTAACGTCCACAGAAACACCATTTGGTGTTTATGGCAACGTTGGCAACAGACGAATACAGTCAGAGACCATACTCGGAGTGGCAGGCCACGCGTAACCAATAATCGACAAGACAACTGGATTCGAACAACACACCTACGAAATCGATTCCAGCCAGCAACAGTGACTGCAAGAAGCATCCCTGGCCTTCGACGAATATCTTCTCAAACCGTACGTCGTCGCCTCCGATGTACAGCGATTGTCGCCAGAAGACCCGCCAGACGTCCCATTTTGATAGGAAACCACCGTCAAGCACGTCTACAGTGGTGCAGACAGCGTCTACGCTGGACGGCCATGCAGTGGGGACAAGTTCTATTCACTGACGAGTCTCGTTTTCACCCCAGCCACAGCGACGGACGGATCCGAGTGTACCGACGTCGAGGTGAACGTAACGTCAATCATTGTGTCATGGAAGAAGATCGGTTCGGGTGCGGCAGCGTTATGGTATTGGGTGGGATTACAGCAAGACAGAGGACCCGTTTGATAGTAGTAGAGGGAAATCTCCATGCACAGCGCTACCGCGACGAGATCATCGGCCCTGTTGTTCTACCGTTTTTGCGTCGTCATGGCCCAGGCATTACCTTTCAACATGACAACGCCCGGCCCCATATTGCTCGACTTGTCCAGGATTCTCTTCAACAAAACAACGTGAATGTCATCCCCTGGCCGGCTCGCTCCCTTGATCTCTCACCACAGACACTTCAGGAACTTCGAAACATGCTCCAGCAGATATGGACAGATATCCCACCGGAACTTTGTGCGACGCCTGGTCCATTCCATGAGACGAAGATGTGTTGCTTGCATCGCAACCAGAGTAGGACACACACGCTATTGATTTGCAAATTGACATTTTGGCATGTTCATGGTTTTTTATGAAATCACGCATTTTCTGAAGTCAGTATGGCAAATTAAACCATTTGAACACTTAGAGGAGTCATTTATCTGTTGCCAACCGAAATTGTTTCTGATTTGGTAAAAATCATAACTTTGCATTAAATCTTATTCAGTGTCACAGGAACTTTTGTTGTTCAGTAATGAAAAAAACCCTGAACATATTCACAAGATTGTCAGTTGTACGATTCCGGTATATAATGAGCATGTGTTAAGGAATCTCTATGAAAAGATGATAATACCAGTTGATTGCCAAATATTGAGCATATTTTGCCCCTATCACAAACACATGCATAGGCAAGTCAAATGTACACCTGAAAAAACACGAGAACATATGGAATGAGTAAAAATAGGTAATAGAATCTGACATCATTTTAGTCCATGATGCGTCAATTTTGGAAATGTTCTCCACATGTAAAGCATAAAACAGTTTGAAAGCTTTCCCGAGGCTTTGAATGTTGTAACCTTGATCAATTTACTTATTAGCAAGAGTTGTGTGACGCTTTTTTAATCTTCATTGAAAGAGCATGCTTGATTGTACTGTGCAATGGCGACACCAAAAGTTTGGTGCTGCTGGAATATTGTTCAACATGAAGGGAAAGTTGACAATTTGATAGTTGAAGTCATCATTCTTGGCATGAGTCTTGTGGAGAGTTTTTTTGTCACTCTGAATTATTATGCATAAACCTAAATATGAAACAGATGAAGCAGTCTCACTGGTTTTAATTTCTAGTTCGGTGGGTAAATCAGTGGAAAGGAGTTAGTTATTTGACCATTATTGAACTATATTGTACCTGAAACTTAATGACAATTACCTTATTTTGATTTTGCCAATCCGATCAGAAATTCTGATGAATGTGCATAAAGAAACAGATTAGTCCGGAGGGGAGCACAATTAGTGCCCATGGGGATGCCTACTTCTTTAATGACTACTTAATGTCTTACCCCCAAATTTTACATAGATGTTATCAATGAGGATGTCCAGCATTTTGCATACTGTTTTCTTAGTAAATGACATTTGCTTTGATGTTTGACAAGTTGTCCTGCACGTCTGAAGAGGGAGATGTAACGATATCTATGGTCACCATGTATAAACACATAGCCCCATGCTCCAGTTGAAAAATCAAATGTTTTGACAGAATTAAACTGTGTTCTTTTCTGAGATTGCGAAAAGTCAAGCCAATACTATATTTTTTTGTGAATGGACGTAGTATTAATTTGACTTGCTTCAAACTCTTTCTGTGAATGTAACAGTCCTAACTTGATAACCCTGCCCAAGACAATGAATATAATAAGTGAAAATAGGCAGTGGCGCTCAAACAAAAATGACGATTTGTACCCAATTTTTTGACCTACATTCCTGATTGTTTTGAATGTCAAAGCTGCAGAGTGCCCATCTTCTCATGCCACATGGCATATAGCACACAGGGAAACCCAGATGTGATCTTCAACCAGGTCTTCACCCGGATACCCCACTACCTCCCTAAATGAAAGAAGTGTTTTTCCTGTTTGATGTCCCAATGCCTTAACAGTCCACACTAAAAGGAAGCTATGTTAATTATGAAAAGAAACCCTTTGAAATTAAGATGACTGGTGAGATTAAGTATGTGAAGTGACGTCAGAACTGGAATTGACATCCTCCGAACCGGAAATAGATCAAGGAAAGATGTCACCATTCATGTCATGGTAATGCCAATATCTTTAATGTCATCTATTGTGACGTTTTGAAGGATCTGACCATGTTTAGGAGTTTGTTTAACATAGTGTAAATGTGAGAAAGACTCAGATCTCTCCCTCCCCCAACCCACTATTGTGTCAGCTTCCCGCGACGTGCGGTCAAACGCCTTCGTCGGTGTCTGCGCATGTTTCCGCAGAAGCTTTCCAACAGAAGACATAATTTACAGAGATGTATACTCCTGCACGTAAGGGAACAACAAACTACAGCACCACCGACAGGGGGATGTCAACCAAACTACAGCACCACCGACAGGGGGATGTCAACCAAACTACAGCACCACCGACAGGGGGAATGTCAACCAAACTACAGCACCACCGACATCGGGGATGTCAACAGCACCACCGACAGGGGGATCTCAACCAAACTACAGCACCACCGACAGGGGGATCTCAACCAAACTACAGCACCACCGACAGGGGGATCTCAACCAAACTACAGCACCACCTACAGGGGGATCTCAACCAAACTACAGCACCACCTACAGGGGGATGTCAACCAAACTACAGCACCACCGACAGGGGGATGTCAACCAAACTACAGCACCACCGACAGGGGGATGTCAACCAAACTACAGCACCACCGACATCGGGGATGTCAACCAAACTACAGCACCACCGACAGGGGGATGTCAACCAAACTACAGCACCACCGACAGGGGGATGTCAACCAAACTACAGCACCACCGACAGGGGGATGTCAACAAAACTACAGCACCACCGACAGGGGGATGCCAACCAAACTACAGCACCACCGACAGGGGGATGTCAACAGCACCACCGACAGGGGGGATGTCAACAGCACCACCGACAGGAGGATGTCAACAGCACCACCGACATGGGGGATGTCAACAGCACCACCGACAGGGGGGATGTCAACCAAACTACAGCACCACCGACATGGGGGATGTCAACAGCACCACCGACAGGGGGAATGTCAACCAAACTACAGCACCACCTACAGGGGGATGTCAACCAGTGCATATTTATGTCCTGGATACACTTGCAAATATGTCTGCTGATCATGTACGAACCTGCAGAATTGTTCTCTGCAGTCAAAAAGTACTGTCGTGGACATGCAGAGGTTTTGGATATATCCTGCGAGACTTGCAAAACACCTATCCCCCCACGGGCATCGTCACAATACCTCCTAAATAAACAGTTTCTCGTGAACTATAGAATGGCCCATGGATACTTCTGTAGTGGAATGCTCCATGTGCAGTACGAGCGCATGTGCCAAGCTGCCAATACTGGACATGTATCTCTTGGGTATATGCGAGAAAATATGCAAGGTGATGAAACTGTCTATAACAACTGTGTGGCAGCGGAATATCAAGACAGCTGTGACAATGCCTTGAGAGAAGAGATCGGTATTACATTCATGTCAGATCAGGGTGCTTAGGCAGGAATTGACATTATGAC